TATCTCAATAAATTATCTGTATTAGATTTACGAAAAAAATGAATGAGGTGTTAATTTTTTTAACAAAAGATATACTTTATACGTATAAGTTATTTCATCCGTTCACAGTTGTTTGATCTAAGTAAAATCATGCACTCTTCTCGAGAAATTTATTATAAAGTATGATTTGATTAAATATAATTTTTCTATATCAAAAATATTAAAATTCTATACAATTTTTTCAATTGAATATAAAAGAGTAATATTAAGGGGAAAGAATTGAAAAAATAGTTAGTTATTTCTTGATTGTTTAAATTGATAAATAATTTTGAACATTTATTTTAGATATATCTGTCAAATAATTATAGACGGAGGGCAAAAAATAAAGAAATCATAAAGAGAACATAACATTTGAAATTGGAAAATTTTGCCACGTGTCGACTTTGATAAGGTAGCACGAAGAATACTGTAGTAATGGATACGTAGGACCGTAGGATTGCTTTCGATTTGATGTTATTTTAAGAAATTTATGTCATATTATTTTTTTATTACTTTATAAAAATTATAAGTACTATTTTTGAAATCATCCCAATAATTTTGATTGCTCTTTCTTATATTAGAAAAATGTCACGAAATAGTCGCACTATATTTATTAGGATGTTTCATTCGTTAAATACTTTCTCGACGTGGAATTGTTTGTCATGATTTTTATTTTTAAAGTTTAATTATGAAAATTTTGACTAACATTTTAAGATGTATTTCATCATATTAATATGTAAAAAATTATAACCTATAGTATTTTTCATATAGTTTTAGAATATTTATTTATTTTTATTTAAAATATCGAATTATTGTGATTTTAATTTATCTTTAAAAATTAGTCAAATTAATTTTCGATAAACGTAACATAACAAACAATTTTGGACGAAAGGAGTAGGACATAAGATAATAATTAGAGGCTAAGTAATCCTATATTGTACTAAAATTGTCTAATATGATAAATCATATATTCAGAATCTAATAAATAAAAATTATGATTCGAAATTCCTAAATAATAAATTATGACTTTGCTTATAGTACTAAGTTTTAATATATGCAATGCTCACAAACTAATGTTCTACTTTCTAACCAAAATCAAATATTTTTTCATCTTAAAACGATTACTGATTCCTAATAATAGAAAGAAAAAAAAATAATGTGTAGCATAACTAAAAGATTTGGATGAAAATATAAACTATATTTGGCTAAATCACAAAAGTATTCGATTTATAGCTTGATGTGACAATTACCGGATAATTTTTGCTTCGCTAATTCTAGTAAATTTGAGTGTGAGTTGTTGTTGTTGATATCTATATTTACGTAATTAAGAATGTTAATTATTGTTAAAAATATATTTAGTGATAATTGAATTATTTTTATTAATTAATTATCAATAAAGACTATTTTTGATATAGTAATATTTTCTAATTAATACGTATATTTTTTTGGTATTCTTTTCTTTATTTTTATTTCATTAGTACAATTATTTCTTTTATTTTAAATATTTCTACAGTTAATGATCTTTTTTCTGAAATATTTTCATCATATTTTTTTTAAGGAGCACTTTTTTTGACTCAATTTTAATGCTCTTTTATTGTATCTTCAAAAAATTAAAATTATATCATGTCTGGTTAAATAATCCTTATTTCTTTTTTTCCTAATTCATCTCTACCTCACTTACCTATCCATTACCTTGCAGCTTTACCTATTTGATATAGAGATAAATTAATAATTTAATTACAAAATTACTCCCTTAAGTGTTATTTTATTTTATTAAGAAAATATCATTTCATTATAATTAAAAATAATTTAATTATAACTTTTTAATTTTATTCATAGTAGAATAATTACTACATCACAAATATATAGTGATGGTTCTAAGCTATAACTTTTTTAAAAAAATTGTTTTTAAAAATATCTTATCAAAGTCAATCAATCAAATAATGTTTTATGAAATTTATAAATTACATAAATATTATTATAAATTAAAATAATTAAAAATATATATATAAATATTAAAATTTAAAAAATATCATATAAATTAAAACGAATACGCTTCGATAAAAATTGGATGCGTGTGTTGAATGTAGGCGAGCAAGTTGGTGTAGTTATTATCTTTATCTGACAAAGACTGCTGCACTTTTTCCACTATCCACCTCCCTATGACTACCAACTTGCAAATTGATCTAGCTGTTCTCATCTAATAATATTGCGACACGTATACTCCAACATCCACGTGTTAATATATTTATCAATTTGTAAAAGAGCAACTTGTATAATATCGGGTCCCACTTAGATCTGTTTCTTGATTTTTATCCTTAGCGTATTTTTGGGAGATTCTTTTTGGACCACTTGCTCTTCCTTCATCATAATCCTTTTTTTCCTTTTTGTTTCCCTTTCGCTTCGTATTTGAATTTCAATTAAATTTAAATAGTAATATATAAAATAAATTATTTGAGCTTTCAATAAATTTTTCTTTAATTCCTAGTTTAAATTTTAAATTTTAATGTTTTTTTATTATATTACAATTCATATTAATATTGTAATTCATTTAACTGGACCTTGTGCCTTTCTTTTCAATTTATCTTCTCCCTTTTCTTCTCTCTAAAGAAAAAAACACCAACAACTATCTAACTAACATTCTTGGATTCTAAATAATTAGTACATACTTAACTAGTATTGCTTTCATAAGTGAAATCATAATGTGTCAATCTTTACATATAAAAATTATAATTAAATTTAAATAATATATTATTTAATTCGATTGTTTGAAAGTGGTGATCTTTATATTTTTCTTTATGATAATTTAATTTTTACATTTTTATGATAATTAAACTTTTGTAATGTGAAATGAATAACTAGAATATGAATTATTTTTATGGCAATATATATAAACTATCTTCATTTTGATTTCAATAGCTTTAACACTTGGTTAGCTCACTACAAAAAGTTAAAGTATAATTGTTTGCCAAAATAAAATTTGGTTCTTTAACCCTCATTGTTTTTTTTTTTAAAAAAAAAAAATAAGAAAGTTAAGGCATGTTGAACTACTTTTTTTCAAGGAAGAAAAATACTTGTGGCAAATAGTTCTAGCTAATTATACGATCATGAGTTTAAGACTAGCCTAATGTATTTTTTTTCTTATATTATCTATCCTATAATGTTCACACCAAAGGTCAAGCATTATTTAAGAGTTAATTAATAGGTACATTCATGTATATAATTTATCAACATGCTTAAGAAATAAATACAATATCTTTCACCTTTCTTTTGGAATTAACATAATTAGTTGCCAAGTTGCTTTAAAGTAATACCGACCAAGAGCAAGTTGCATAGGAAATAATTACATTTTTATTAATCTAAAACTTTGAAAGAAAACAACGTTGTCTGTCAAGCTGTGTTGTTGATGGATCTGAGTGACTATTGTTAGTGAAAATTAGACTATTTGTCTAATATACCCACTTGTGGCTTTGTTCATGTGACAGAGCCACTAACTTAAACTAACCTTTTTTTTCCCTTTTTCTGTGGTTTCTATTCATTGAATCAAAATTCTTTGTCCCTTATCATTTCTTTTCTTGTACTATACAACATGTTATGTTAAAAAAAGGAAAAAAAAAAAAAACATCATTGAGACTACTTTATTGTCAATTCACAAACACTAGTTTTTTTGTGTTTTTTTTTTCGGCGTTTCAACATTTTTTCACGTAACTTTCGACAGTATTTTTTCACTTTCAACAATTGTGATATTCCAATGTGGAAGCAAATTAGCAAAAGATGCGGTTTTAACAAACTAAACTTAATTGGCGTAGAGGAGGAAAATGACTATTTTTCTCCACGTCTGGTTAGAAATATTAAATAGTTATGAAATTATTTATCGAAAAATTTATTTTATAGTAATATAATCAGTCATTTCATATATATGTATAATATAATATAATTTTTCTTAGGATGATTAATTTTATTTTATTCTTAACCAAATAAAATACTTCCTTTCGTCTCCCTTTCTTAATGGTGCATTCATACTCATATTATTGTAATTTATATTCGTCTCTATAATTAGTTGCCTCAATTATATTAGTTCTACATCAATTATTAAAAGAGTAATGGACAATTCTCATTTATGAACTAAGTTTTTAGCATTAACTTAGATTAATAATTTCGAATATCTTCAAATTTAATTTCGTATATAACAAAATCATGTTAGGTTAAAGAGCAATTAATACTTTTAAATAAAACCTTTAGTGTGTCAAGACCTATTAACTTTTAATATTACTAATAACTTTGATGTGTCAAATTAAATTTAATTTTAATTGATATTTAAATTTTATAAAATTAAATATACACGTATTTATTTAAATTAACATAATACACATAAAATGCTACGTAGGAGAGAGAAAAAAAGTTAGGCGTTATTAACTAAGGCATGGTAGGGGCATAAAATACGAGATTGCCAAAATTGATACGTGTCGACAAATTCAGCCATGTATGATTATGATACACGTCAATACCAGTTCCCGATAAAATAGTTATACTCATAGAAATCCAGCCAGTCACTAAAAGGTAGCCCATAGGTCAATCCAACCGCCATCTGTCATCTAATTCGAAAAACAGCCCAAGTATTTTGCGTTAATCGCTACGACTTTTTTTTTTTTCAAGTGACCACAAAAGAAAAAAAAACTTTTTTAGAGTCACGCCGTTTACGACTCCGAGATTTTCTGTAAGACGTGGCACTAATTAACCGACACGTGGCCTGTTGTTCCGGTAATAGGTTTATTCTTGTTTGCAGTTAAATGAAGAGACACCTTAAGGGGGATTGTGGCAAACGTCCCTTTAAACCAGGTTGTCTAAACCACGTGGGTAAAGAGGACTCTTCATGCCTACCACGTGTCGGTTTTTGCTGCGTTTTACGTTTCATCGTTGAGGGTTTTTTCGTAATTTTAATGGTAAAATAGGAATATTAAAGTAGTCGTGGAATCATTAAGTTGTTCCTCTTTTTCTCTGTTTTTCTTTATATGGCTCAAGTTAACTCTTTTGCCGGCGAATTCAGGAACTCCGGCAACTACATTCTCTAACGTTTACAGAATTTTCTGTTTATTATAATTGAATTAAAAAGTTGTTTGGAGTTTTGGGGTTTGGTTTGTTTAAAATGGCTGAAGCTGAAGAAAATAGAGAAAAGAGGTGTTTTTCTAGTATGCAGATGGAAGTTTTTTCAAGAGATCTGTTGCATAAATTTATGAATGGAAACAACAATAAATTTCATGAAATTCCTAATGAGGAAGATGAATTGGAGCTGAGTTTGGGGCTTTCCTTGAATGGAAGATTTGGGGTAGACCCAGAAAGGGCTAAGAGACTAAAACGCTCTTCTTCAATTTCAAACTTTGTGTTTTCCGGCGGGGATGAGAGTAATGGGCGTTGTTCATTCTCTGTTGGTCCGATTGCGAGGACGTGTTCTTTACCTGTTGAGGGTGAGGAGGAGTGCAGAAAAAGGAAGGAGTTGCAATCTCTGAGGCGTTTGGAGGCTAAAAGAAAGAGAATGGAGAAATTACGAGTGGTTAAGGATAAGGTTGATTTAGATGAACGTCCTGAAGAAAATGGTGGGAGTAATAATGGTCCAGTTGGAAATTCATTGCCTCTGTCACAAGGGTCTATGGCTTCTCAGGGAAGTGGTTCTTCAGGAATTTCTGATTTTGGGAGTCAACCCATTCAAGGTATTATTCTCGTTCATTAAATTTTTTTATCTTTACGGGCGATTTGGCCTTAGAATTCTCGGATTTATAGTGGTTAAGGTATTTATTTGCCTATTCTATTACTATCTTCCTATCGGGGGAGTTCTTATGTTCCTCATTAGAGTAAAGATAATTCTTTTACTACTCTTCGTTAGGGATCTTGTAAATATAGATTTTCAAGAAGAATCTTGTTCTTTAATAAATATAGTGTCTTGGTTATGGGCGATGTGCGCTAAAAATTATTATCCCACAACCATTTTGTTCAGAAAAGGGGAGAAATAAAATTTCCATACTTTAGGTTTCTATTATAGAGGAAGTGAGATGGACGTTGCCAAAGGAATAAAGATTAAGACATCTACCTGCACCTGGAGTCGTGGACTTCTTTAGGAACTTTCCTGTTGTTTACCTGAATTCACTGTCCACCCTTAATGTTGTGGTATTCACTGCAAATTTCCCCTCTTTCACCTTCTAATATCTGATATTCTTTGAACTGATCGGACATGCCGATTTTTCCAAGAGTGTTTTACATGTGGACTTACTGGGCGGTATCACTTGTTTCCGGGGGAGGGGGGTAAGAAATCCTTGAGGCTAATTCTTTCTTTTTTCCAGGAAGGTAGGAGTTTTTTTTTTAATCTAATGATAACTTCGGTTAAATAATTGTGCACTTATTGAAGCTTGGACCAAGTGTAGCAACTTTATATTAACTAAACGAATACACAATCTTAAAATTCTGGATCTGCCACTGCCGTGGTATGTTACCGTAGTAGAATTTGAGCGTCCTTTGTTTGGCTGACAATGTTTTAGCAGAATCTTATTTCTTCTTAGTCACTGTACGTTCTCAGAAGTTGTCTGCAGAGGAATCTTATTGCCTTTGATTAGCTTTGCCTGGTCCTGTCTCTTTGGGTGGAGTTTTATTGCCTATGTCGTAGAGATTTTGACCCCTCCTGCAACGCTGTATGTTCCAATTCAAAACAGCTACTGCTTGCAGTGGAGTTATATTGCCTATAGGTCCTTCGAGAGGGGTTGTAGTAAGATTTTACCCCCCCCCCCCCCTCTATCACTGTTTTTCCAACTCAAAGTAGCAACTAGTTCAAGTGGTGAACGTATGTGCTTTCTCTTGATGCTCTAGCGTGATGTTCTGCACGTGATCTCTCTAACACAATGTTTTTACCGCCGTTAAGACTTGAAGTAAGCTTTGATTTCTGTATCAAGCCATCTGTCCTTGCAGGTGGTTGATAGACAGATTCTCTTCACCGTCTCTCTCTTGCACATAGATTCCTGACGGGAAGAGCTGACCTATTTTCAATCTTAAACTATTGCAGGGCCAGGTGACAACAGTACTGGGGCAAATACTCCGACTAGCATCAAGCCTTCAGAGCAAGAACATGAACAGAAACAGGTTGCCAAACCACCTAAAATCACAAGCGAAAAACCACCTACCACATGTAATGGAAGTGCCAGCAAGGAAGCGAAAGAAATGTTCAAAAACTACATGCTCAACATGCCCTGTGTTTCCACAATGGGCAAGGGGCCAAATGGTAAGAAGATTGAAGGATTTCTGTACAGATATCAGAAGGGAGAGGAAGTAAAAATAATGTGTGTTTGTCATGGTAACTTTCTCTCCCCAGCTGAGTTTGTGAAACATGCTGGTGGCGGTGATGTTGCAAATCCGTTGAAGCAAATTGTCGTCAATCCTTCACCTCTGTTGAGATGATGCCAGTGGAACTCTATAATGACACAGAAAAGGGGCAAAGCTTCAAGAATTCAGCTTTGCTATCATCGTTCATCTTCTTTTGTAACATGGACCAAGGTTCTTTTTTTATTTTCGAGTAGATAGTAGTTTCTTGCGGGATATTGCATAATCAATGGGCAAGTTTATCCCCTTTCTGTGGGGAAAAAAAATTTAAGAATTCCCATTGGCATTTATCTTTCAGTTATTCGTTATTTGGAAGTCCGCATTAATTTTTCGTACATGAAGGGACTGTAGAGTGCAGTTGGTTCCATATCGGTTTCAACACGAAATGTGACTTTTGAAGGGGTGGTATTATCAGCAAAGTCTAACAAGCTTGACCAGCCTTTGCTCTTAACTGTTGCAGTTTCATGGCGTTAAAGAGTCGTCGGATTACTTGAAAATTTTCTTAGTGCTCTTCTCTCTTCAATGCGGCCTTTGTTTCTAACGATAACGTTAGTAATTCCATGTAAAATATATTAGTTAACAATGATTTTTTGTTCGCTTCAAATTTTTTCATGTTTTTTCTAAATGCCAATGTATCCTTTTTGAACTCAAAATGAACATATATTTTTAATCTTTTTGACTTATAAATTCTTTAAAATGGAACAAATTTGTGGGACTTGTTACCAGAAAACATACAAATTGACCAAGTAGGCTTTATTCTGTTGCTAAATGAGCAGCGATGCTAAGGCAGATACTCCGTAAACAGAATGAAGTGGTAGACTTACTACGCAGGGAGGGTTCTTTTTGGAAAATCTCCTTTTTCATAGTTCCTTTTAGTGTTTATAAACAGTACAGCTGGGGCAGCCATTTCAGGAATTATGCATCAAAAAGAAAAGTGTGGTAATCGAGAATAGAGCTATCAACATGGATTGATTCATTATATCTGGGCTTAATAGGTCTGGCAAGGCTAATTCACGGGTCAAAAAATGGTCAGCTCAATCCATGAATACATAGGCTACGGAGCTTTTCCTGGCCAATCCTCTTTTCCTAATACTATATTTTTATAGAACTATAACTATTATCATAAAATATAAAAAAAAAGCTACTTATTGTTTTATAAATAGTACAGTTTGGGCAGACATTTCAGAAACTATGCAGCCAAAAAGAAGTGGTGTGGTAAATAAGATGGTGTATGCATGATATATTTTTCATTTTAATCAGAAATTTCGGATTTACATCTAAAAATGAGGAATCGGTAAGCCTAGCTTTCAGTCACTTTAGCTAGATTCTCGGGGAACAATTTGTGTTTATATCCTTTAGGTGCCTACTTACATCTTGTGTGTTTTGTAAGTATATATTTGATTCACAATCTTGGACAATGGTATCCGTCCTTTCTACGTTGAAAAAGTAATATTACTATACTATAGTTTGGAGAGAAATAGGCAGGTAAAAGTAGAGATCCGTGGACTTGTCTTTTAATTTGCTCACATTATTGTGGTAGGTGTACCAACTAGTGTGTTAAAGTAGCTGTCAGATAAAATATCTATGTGAATTGTAACCTGAAATGTGTCATACCACTAATATTGAATGAAGTTACTGAAAACTGAATACAATTGAATTAGAAACAAAAATGTTGAGTTCTATTTGTTTTTCTATTTTTTTAAAAAGTTGAATCATCAATCTTTCTGACTTCATAAGAGAAAGTCGGAAGAATTGACATGATTCAATTTGTTTTCAATAGTCACGAGATAATCATTTTAAGGTGTGATCCGTCATCACAAAATCAAAAGAAACTAATTATTTTATAATCAACCACTTGAAAAACATTCGATTGTTGGTTAAGAAGTCAATTATTTATAAGCCTAATAGTATCATATTTAGTAATTGTAGTTACTACTTTGTTACGCGTTACACGTTTTGATTATAATTACCAATTACAATCACACATAGTTGTTAAATGGAGTTTATATTGGAGCTACTGAAATACGGAATAACTATACGGCTATACTTTGCATAATTAATCTATGTATCACTCATACATGTATAACTCTAACAAGCAATCAAATGACCCTTTGTTGTCTTACACTATGAGTCGTTTTATTTAGTATTTGATCTAAAACATATTAATTAATCTTTGAATTATTTATCCCACCTTTTATACCTTAATAATATACATTATCTCATATAATAATGAAATAATTTATCATTAGAATAATTAATTCCATAGCGTATCCTTAGCCTAAGTGTCACGATAAGAGTTCATATTAAATAAAAAAATAATCCGAATATTCCGGAAACAGTTGAAAAAATGTCTGATACTTTGATGTTAAGACTCGTACTTGGTCGAAAGGAAACAAATAAAATTAGATTAAACAAAAGAAATAAGTCATGTTCTGTTTGTAGAAAAGATAAGAATTTAACAAAAGTAGATATATGTGCTTAACCGTTTGCACGTGATGATTACTTTTGATAGGATATGACTTGTGGGCTTTATGTTTACAACAATGTGTCTTTATACCTACTTTCATCTTAATCTAATGGCAGAAAATTTGTGTTTGTGATATGCAAATCTTGGAAACTATTAATTGAATTGACATCTTACTTTCCGACAGAGACAAAATTTTGTAACAAATAAATGGTGTACTCTTATAATTAGCTAATATTGGTTAGTATTCATTAATAGTGGTAATTTACTAATTTCTGACAGTTTTACCTAATAAAGTTGACTACATATGACGTCTAAATGTAGACAAATTCAAATATCTAGACTTTAGTGTTTCAGAAGAACATGACACAATAAATGGAGATGTAATTACTATTTACTGGAAGAAATAATGGTGCACTAGTAACTCGGGTGGACATGATAGGTTAAGGTACGATATATTAAAGTTTTGATATTTTACAGTATGATAAATTGGTAATTATAGTTTGTTTAAATTCGATTAATATATTCTCATATAACAGAGTATTATGACTTTGAATTTTTTTTAAAAAATATCAATTGTATCATAGTAACATATTAGACCATCTCCAATCCAACATCAAATTATACATTAAATCGTATATTTGGTGTAAAATTTAGTGTTTTGAGCTCCAATCCACACCAATTTTCACACCAAATAATTTTTTGAATATTATAATATCATTTCATTGTATAACTTTTAATTAAATATTATATAAATTGTATGTTTTAATTAAATCTATAGTATATTTAATTATTTTTAGGTAATATTTTTATAATATTAATTATAGATATAAAATTTAGCCTTTTTATAAATTACTTTTTCTATATTAATTCTACTATAAATTATATAAATTCCTACGGGACATTTGTGGAAGTATCATAGTGATTTTGAAAGTTAAATATTTATGTAAAATTAAAAATAATTTTTTCAGTTATGTAATACTTGTTTAAATGTATTTTTATAATGATTTCATTTTTATTTGCATCGTTCATTATTATGTATAATATATAATATTTGCTAGCAATTTATATTATTTAAAAAATTATGATGATAATTATAATAGTGTAATATGTTAAAAAGAGGGAGATAAATTATATTTTGAGGTGGAACCTCTTAAAATAATTTGTGTAACAAATGCAAATGATTCACATCCACTAGGGTTATAGCCACACTAATTTCGTGTTTCTTTTATTTAACGTTGGAATGAAATAAATTAGAAGCAAATAATAACCACGCTAATTTCGTGTTTCTTTTATCTAATAACGTTGAAATGAAATTAGAACCAAATAATATAGAAATTGAATATGCTTAGCTAGTAAAATTAAATATTTATAATGCATCGTAGTTGATCACACAATGCCATGGACCGACAGGTTTATAGCTAATTAAAATTATAAAGATATTAATCTATTGATGTCAATTGTTTCATTGTCTCCTCTGTATAAGATGATACACATCATTAGTTAAATATGTATTAGTTATATGATATTATTAAAAATAATTTTATTCATAAATAATTTAATTTCTAATTAGTTGTTAAGCTAACGTTTGATTATAGAATTTTTTGGTAAATATTATACCATAAGTTTTTAAAAATATCAAAATTAATCATAAATTTGTATTACTAGTTAATTGAATAATCTTTGCAACAATAACAAATAGTGTCAATTTACAATTAGAGCAATGTGATAATTTGGAGAGAGTGCAACAAATATCATTTCATAATATTGTGAAATAGACAAAACACATGACTTTGTTATTTTGTGATGATTGTTAATCATTTTTCATCAATAACCATATCATCATTTAACATTCACTGAATATTTTATTATTACTTTGGTGTTTAATGTAAAAAATTATGTAATACAATGCAAACAACTACTATATATAGTGTTTCTGTAAAAGATAAAATTTAGGGTAAAATTTTAATTTCAAAAGATTTCAAATAATAAGATTTTGCCTAAATACTAGAAAAACTGATATTATTTAGAAATTTAGGATATTTGTCGAAAATAATAAACTATATTGATAACATTATTTGCCAATTTTTTGTTTTACATATTATTTGAAAAATTTATTATTAAACGGATCCTAAATATAATATAACTTTGATATTCTTAAATATTTCAAAATAATACAATGAATAACTATAATTTTTTCTTTTAAGAAAACGAACTAAATAAAGAAAGTTTAACCGACTAATTAAAAAGATAGAACTGAAAATAAATTTTGATAGGCGAGTGAGTGGGAAAAAGAAAACGCCTTGTCATTGACCACACCACACCTCTACATTTGGGACAAACTCTCCATCTTCACCTTCTTCTTCTTCTGCTACTTGCTAAACCTTTGCTTGATCTTCCTCAACAACTATCGCTAAAAAAACTTAATCCATTTGAATTGCATTGTTAGGGCAAAGGATTTAATCATCCGATCGAGCGGGCGAGCATTGATCGCATCTCGCCGTCTCTCAAACTCGCTTGCCTCAGATCTGTCACTCGGAGCTTCTTCTATTCGTAAGGAGTTTCACTTCTATTTCTTCATTTTCGTTCATTTTACTCCCTCGCATTCAACATGATTCACTTTTACCTCACTTAATTTTATGATTTCTGTGTTTTTTTTTCAAGTTAAAACTTTACGTGCTGCAGATGCCTGCATTATTGTTATTTGTATTTGTACTTGTTTCCTTCATTTGTTTGTATGCTCTGTTTTAGTTCCGTACAGTACTTTGTATTTTTTTTTATTTTTTTTGAGGATTTACTTATATGGTTACCTGTGTGGATTGTAATCACTATTCAGCATCGGGGAAATGCTGATGGTTGATAATTTGAAGCTGCTAATTTCGGCTGGCTGTGCTGTTGACTATCATTAGTTGTTTGAAATAAATTACTAGCTTCTAAGTTTCACTTACAGAGAGTGGGAAAAGAGTTTCAAGTTGATGTAGAGGCTGCTATCATTTTTTTCCCCTGTAAATTTCTACATTTTATGCTCAATGTGTGCCATGCTCAAGAGTTACTGCAATGATCTTCATTGAAGCTATAAAAAAAACAGTATTAGGTGTGTAATTATATTACTCAAGCAGCTAACTATTTTCTGCAACAGA